TTTTTGGCGATTAATATCAAAGCCATTATTATTATTACACTTATTATCATTATTATTAGAAAACAATTCATTAGATTATTATTTAAATAACGAAAATATCTCTTCCGAAGACATGCATCGACTCTATGGTTGATAACATTCTTTGCCGACAAACACATGAGGCGGAGAACCGGCAAACGGTTACCACTCGGCGTCGCCCACAGCCTTCTGGAACACGTAATCCTTTCCCTGAAGATTCATTATCCCGTCTTTTAAGTGAAACTTCCATTTGTTTCGACTTCGAGTAATCTGTCAATACATGAGACAATTAACAACAATTCCTCGTGAGTTTGTAGACAATCATCGGCCATACCTTATCGTATTGGCAAACGACCACATTGTCCGTCTCGAACAGTTCCGTCGGGTCTTCATCGCTAACATCATCGCCAGAGTTGAGCGGTTCCTACAAACGCAATAACACGTAAAACGTAAGCAAATGGCGAGTGAATCTCAGGGGCGGACAGTCGTACCTCATCCTCTCCCTGACCATCGTTGTCGTCGTCGTTAATCTCTTCGTCATTGTCTTCGTGGTCGTCATCGTCTCTGTCCCGGTAGTCATCCTCGTCGTCGTCCTCATCGCTGGTGTCATTAGCGCCGTCTAATTGGACGACACGGTTGGCCGCTGTGGTGGGCGGTCGCGGACCCGTCTNTTGTCGTCGTCGTTAATCTCTTCGTCATTGTCTTCGTGGTCGTCATCGTCTCTGTCCCGGTAGTCATCCTCGTCGTCGTCCTCATCGCTGGTGTCATTAGCGCCGTCTAATTGGACGACACGGTTGGCCGCTGTGGTGGGCGGTCGCGGACCCGTCTGTAGAGTAGGTCGCGCGGCATTGGCTGCTGTGGCCGACGCCGCGTATTGTATAGTAGTATTTGGAGCTAAGTTTACATCTAATTTAAACGGCAATAGATTTACAATTAATAAACTTATGGTTAAAAGACATTATCAATGGACGCACTACTGGTGTGATGGAGAACAGAGGGCTGACTCTGTTGTATGACAGACGAAGACTGGAATCCTTGTAAATGATTTAGAAAATCTTGTGATATATTTATTGGTCCTCCGCCTCCCTATAGATGGTTACCAAACAATACGTTTAACAGTTGTGACTAAACTTTAGGTTAATGAGGGGTACGTACGGAGGAGACCAGGTATGGCCCGTTTGGGCTCTGAACGAGCATCATTTTGGGTCCGGTGGCGCCGGTTGACTGTCCCGTCTATTTGGCAACAAAACAACAACCAATTAATGCCAACAAATCATTTATAAATGTAATTTCAATGACAATATAGCGATCGCATACGTTATCAGTAGAGGTGGTATAGTTGATACCCGAGGGACCCAACACTATGTTAGTGCCGGCCTGTAGTACGTGATGCTGACCGGCGGTCGGATGATTGACTTGAATCGGGTGATGATTGTTGGACAACACGGTTGTTGTGGTGGTTGGCGGCGGCTGTAATGGCGGATGCATTTGCGTGGCGTTGGCGGTCACGTGTGCCAGTGTTTGCGACGGCTGTTGGGCGGCCTGTGTCACCATCGGAACCGCTGGCGTGGGTTGGGTCGCAGCCGGTGGTGCGGCAGCTGCGGCCGCGGCCGCGGCAGCCGCTGCCTCTTTGTTGGCGGCGGCGTTACGGCCGCCGGCGTTGTTGCGGTTCGAGTGCTTCGTTTGGGTGACGGGTTCGGGTTCGCGAGCATTCGTGTCCACGGCTTTAGTGTCGCTGATCTTTCGTTCCCACATCTGCTTCAAGTCCATCAACACCTGTTCGTCGACGCCGTCGTCCAGAAACGACTCGCGGACGCCATTCAGCACGTCGTCGATCACCGCGCGGTACAGCTTGTGCTAAACGGACACACAATTACTAAAATTAATAGACAGTTAATTAAGTGATGACATTCCCGGGCGACAAACTATTACCACAATAAGTCAACACAACAACACATTATATTATTATTATTTATTAATGTTTTATTATTCAGATATCAATGTTATAAATTAGTATCCAATATTACTGGATTACTCGGGTTATGTTGACCCCCAGCGAATACTACTAACCAATACTTTAAACTTAAACCCTAAATTAACCATGTTTATTTAATTTTGCGCGTATTCTTAATATAAAATAATAAAACATAATTTTAATGTTGTTTATGACAATTGGCTTTTCTACTTCAAGGTGCCAAAAGCACCTTCAGTGCCGAGCAATAACTAAAGGTATACACAAACAAACGGACGATAGATGAGATCATTCTCCCATAAAAACCATGATTTAAATGCAAATGATTTTGAATATAATTAGCACTTGGTTTAAATAAAATTAATCTAAACCAGCATTGCATAGCATTTAAAAATAAAGTATACATATATGAATAAAATATACATACTTTGTCGGAACCAATCATCGCATTCATGTCCATCACTGGACCTCTAGAATGGATACAATTTTCAAACAAATAAGAAAAATAAAACTAAAAAACGTTGCAATCAATTAAAATAACGGACACAATATATTAAACTAGTTTTGCTTTTATTATACATTAATATATTCATGTATTTCTTATAATCAATATATAAAAACAAAAATAATGCATAAAAATCATAAATCTTTGCAAATTATACGATTAAAAATCGTGTAAATAATTCATAATAATATNTTTGCTTTTATTATACATTAATATATTCATGTATTTCTTATAATCAATATATAAAAACAAAAATAATGCATAAAAATCATAAATCTTTGCAAATTATACGATTAAAAATCGTGTAAATAATTCATAATAATATCCATAATTCATATCATATTATAATAACATTATAATGAGAGACACTTTGAATTACAACTATTTATATTTTGTTTTAATTATCATTTAATTATTATTTTTAAATTGGAAAACAAATAATTGAATTATTTTTATACCATATTTATAATTAACTTTAAGTACAATTAAAGTAATCAATTGTCCACTCAATCACTCACTCACAGATACACAAGTCATATATCATGCCATTTGTCCACTTTATATTGTCCTTAAGCTAATCCCAATCTATATTCTTCAACAGGCAATCGAGAGGCGCCACACATAACAACAAAATCTCAATTAAAACTAATTAACTGTTAAATTAAAAAATAATAAAACAAAAAAATTATATACAAAATAAATTGATTATAAAATTAAAATCATTGCCCGAAAGGAAAGAGTGGTTAAAGACAAGCAAATGTGTGGATCGACGACAAAGACACGACATCTGATGCTGTATTATCTGATCGTTAAAAAGAGCGGTCAATGGGTTTTTGAGACACAAGTACTGGTAATAGTGGTCGTAATGATAGGAATCATCTATTTATCGGTTTTTAATCATATAATTCATAATTTTGTATTTAATTATAGTTTTTGTTTTAAAAAATGTTCACTTTTTAAATAATCGGATAAATAATTCATTTGATTTCATCGTTAAAAAAGCGTTATTTTGTCGCCAAAAAGGAGAGAAAAATGTTTGCATCAAATGGTAATCAAGAGATCTCTTCAATCATCAAAATGTCTTTTTGGCGATTAATATCAAAGCCATTATTATTATTACACTTATTATCATTATTATTAGAAAACAATTCATTAGATTATTATTTAAATAACGAAAATATCTCTTCCGAAGACATGCATCGACTCTAT